CGAGGTGCTTAACCTTCATTTCAAGAATTATAAGTAGTTCGTCTTCAAGTCATCATTGGCCTCATACGTCTGAGACAGACGATTTATTCAGTGTCTGAGGCAAGATTTTTCATGGCTGTATAAGCCGATACGGGAGCGGCATGACTTTCCGCACGCTCTACAAACGAAGGTGGAATTAGAGACTGGCACATGCATGTTTAGATGTCGTTTTTGCCTTTTGTTTGCGAGACCAGCGAACCAGGCATCATCGTGAGCTTTACGCCCATCAAACACACGCTTTCGCCATACATCCCTATTCTCAGCAAGCTTCTCCCAGCTTTGATGGTCGATGTCAAACGCAGCCATGTCCCGTTTGGCGCAATCTTTGAAACGTAGCATCGGTCTTCCAACTCCTCTTTTGGCGTTAGCTACGGCGCCAAGCAGGACACGCCGCGGTAGACGCGAAGGTTCCATGCGGTACACATGCCCTAGCCACCGCAATCGTCTTTGCTTAAGCAAAGCGGTAAAGCTAGGCAGCTGTGCAATTTCTAGAACTCGCTCGTTTGTGACTCTGTCCTGCCAAGTTATATGCAAGATGTTTCTTACGCAGCGCATATGAAATGTGTTGAGTCGACGTTCTTGTTTTGCGTACGAAGTCCAGGTTTCAGCTCCATACAAGAGTATGCTTAGAACGCAAGTTTGGTAAACAATTATCTTGGTTTTTGTGGTCAGGTGTTTATTATTCCATACTCTTGTACTGAGCCTGCCGAACATGGTTGCCGCTTTGCCGATACGAGTATTGATCTCAGCATCGAGGGTGAGATTGTTCGACACAGTCGACCCCAAGTAGCAAAACTTGTCAACTATGTTCAAGGGAACGCCACCGAGCAAAATACGTGGTGTTTCTCCACCTTGAGCTAGCACTACTGTTTTTGGCATTAATGGACATTGAGAACAGAGAACACGCGTGGGAAAACTTATCAACAATGTCTTGAAGCTCACTTTGAGAATTAGCAACGAAGGCTGCATCGTCAGCGAACAAAAGGCTATCGACGAATAAGTCATCGCGGTTACGCTTTGACTTAAGAAGCGAGATATTGTACAGCTTCCCGTCAGCCCTAGTGTGCAGGTGTATACCCTGTTGGTCATCGCCGAAAGCAACTTTAAAAGCAATGAGAAGAAAATACCAAACAGGGTAGGAGCCAACACGCAGCCTTGGCGAACACCTCTACGCATTTCGAACGGCTCGGATGTATTGCCGTTAAAAACAACAGATCCTTTCATGTCCTCGTGGAAGGATTTAATGAGGCTTAGAAGTTTTGGAGGGCACCCGATGTTTAAAAGTGCAGTATAGAGTCCTTCTCTGCTCACGGTGTCGAAGGCTTTGTTAAGGTCGACGAACGCCACAAACAGAGGTGTTTTCTGCTCTCTACACTTTTCCTGCAGTTGGCGAAGTGTAAAGATCATATCTGTTGTGGAACGTTGGGCGCGGAATCCACATTGCGATTCGGGATATACACGATCAGCAAGTTTCTGGAGTCTTATTAAGACTAACCGAGCAAATAATTTACCTACTATACTTAAAGGGATATTCCACGATAACAGTTACAGTCACCGCGGTCACCTTTGCCTTTGTATAGGGTAATGATGTTAGCATCGCGCATATCCTGTGGTATATATCCCGCTTCCCAACATTTACACAACAGATTGTGCAGGATGGGTAATATGCACTTGAGCCTGATAATTTCGGCGTGGGTACCATCGTTTCCAGGTGATTTTCCAATTTTAAGCTGCTTTACAGCCTTGTGGTACTCCCTTATGGTAGGAAGATCATCTAACTCAGTCCAGGTAGCTAGTTTTGGCATGCAATCTGCAGCTTCTGGCATTATGTTCACTGGTTCTGAGTAGAGACCAACATAATGTTCTACCCATCGTTCGAGTTGGCGTTGAGCATCTGTAATAACAGTGCCGTCCGCTTCTTTAAGGGAAAGTACCGTGATGTGCGTTGTAAAGCTGATTTTGCATTCGATAGGTCGATACGCGTCTTTTCGGATGGGTTAAGGCGATGTTTTAGCGCAGCTTGTCGTTTGGACTCGAGCAGAGGTGTAATGTGTTCGAGATTTTCAGCGAACCAGTCCTGGTTTTGGCTTTCTGATGACCGAAAGCCGTACCGGCTACTTCTGTAAGTAGCTTTACTTTGCCCCATTCCTCCTCTATCGGAGCGTCTACATCCCAGGTGGCAACTTCGTCGCGTACCAGCTCTTCATACTTTTGGACCACCTCATCGTCTCTGGTTTTGGAAGATCGAGCTTCTTCCTACCAGGCAATTTGGATGAGTGGATCTTTTGTGAGCTATAGCAACTTGTGATGCCACCAGGGAGTGATCTGTGTCACAATCAGCGCTGTGAAATGATCGCGTGTGCAGGGTCTCGCGGAGATTTTTCTTTTGTAAGGATAAGGTCCAGTTGATGCCAGTGTCCAGAACGAGGATGTTTCCAGGACACTTTGCGAGTTGATTTGCCTTTAAAGTAGGTATTGGTAACACACAGTAGGTGTTTAGAGCATAGCTCTAATAAACGTTGGCCGTTTTCATTAAGCTTCCTATACCGTGGTTACCTATACAATCTGGCCAAGCAATGTTGTCCTGTCCGACCCTAGCGTTAAAGTCGCCCAGAATATATAAGCGGTCAGATGGTTTTAACCCGCGTAGAGTCTGGTCGAGCTGGTCATAAAACTGTGTTTTGGCTTCATCTGTTGAGGATAGTGTTGGTGCGTAAGCAGAAATCAGTGATACGTAACCATGGTCCGTATTTAATCGCAGCAACATAATGCGTTCCGAGATGCCGCAAGGAGCCTCTATAGATGTTAAGAGGTCGTTGCGTATGGCAAAGCCAACACCATACTCGCGCACAGCGCTGCTGTCCTTTCCTTTCCAGTAGAATGTATAATGTGTCTCACGCAAGGAACCCTCGTCAGGAGTCTGGTCTCTTGTAAAGCGCAAACAGCAATGTTCAGTCTGTGTAGTTCGGCGTCGATTACGGCAGTTTTACGCAGATCTTGTGCGTCAGTAGAAGAACCTCCACAGGTGTCAGGAGGCCTGTCCTCATAGTACGGACATTCCATGTTGCAAATCGCATGGATAAGCGGGGTTGGTTTGTAATATTTTTATGCCTGTTAGTCGCAGGTGTACAATGTAACGGCGCCGATTGTCCAGTTGAGGCTGGTGCTCTCTACACCTAAAAGAGCAAACCAGCACCGGGGCGGATCAGTACCTTATTGGTCGGGGCTGCCCAACTTGGAGCGGGCGGTAACTGATCAGTGGGTCTACGATGGACCCTCCCACTGACGGAAGCGACCCTGGCGCCCGCACTTACGCCCATACGTGCAGACTTATAACCGGTCACTGCCACTTCCCGTGTTGTTATCCGCGAGACGCGGGTGAAGTTTCCTCTCCACAGACACTGCGTTGCCTGGGACGCAATTATGGAAAACGCAGGGCTGCCCAGGACCTGCGCCACCCTCTCGGCCTTCCTGGCTGACTCCACAGGAACGACGAGTCGATACGTGCGGAGCCAGGTCGGCTGCAGGAGTCTGCCGCACGATATATATGAGTTAATCGCACCTGACGGAGACCCCATTCCGGGTTTAAGTGTGGAGTTTTCCTTCTCCAGGACCCTGATCCACTTGGGTCGGAATGAATCCCTCGGTCGGCTCTTACGACCCCCACGGGAAGAGAAGGGGTGGTGCTATTCTACTCTGCCGGCACCACACGGCTACGTCTACGTCTTCAAGTAGGTAGGTAAATACATTACATCGCCAACAAATCAACCTACCCATTTAAGGGAGCAACTTATACTGGTTTTAATACAAATACTAAGAAAAATCAGTATAATTTGATCCATAGTAATTTAGGAAAACTTGCACTGCAGGCAGGATTTGAACCAGCGACCTTCGCCATGTGTAGATACTGGCGACGTCTCTACCAGCTGTAGCCCAGTTGTAAATTTTCCTAAATGTATACTTATACATACCTAATACGGGAAGTGATTTAATAATTTGGTATTTGATCCATAGTACATACCACCTGAATTTGTGTACCTACACTACACTACACAGATTAAACCCGGAATCTAGTATGCAAATAAACCAGAAAATATTATTGATGATACTTATGAAATATTTAAATTATCTCATTATATTTAAGCACCTACCTACCTTACATTTTGCCGATTATAGTTTCGCAGACATGTTCTGTTCATGAATCTGAACTACTCAAAAGGTACTGTACTTACCTATCTTACCTATATTGGAAAATTATTATGAAATTAAAATAAACAATCTCCCATAGAAATTTAATATTAGAAAGCGTTTACTATCGGCAACAATCAGAGAAATAAGTGTTATTCAATTAAGTTAAGTTTAAAATATGTTTCACCTTAATAAAATCCTTTAACCCTTCCATAACCACATACGAGTAATTTGTTATTTATTATCAGGATTTTCTCAGGCCGTCTATCTAATTCTAGGTGTAATCCAACACCGTCAAATATCGCAGGGTCAGGACGAAGTTTAAACATGTCTGAATATCACATGTTGACAATGCCACGTGCATGAGCGCAGTGCCGTGCTATTGGCCTCACGGCTTGCCCTTTGCAAAGTGCAACCCATACAATCTAAGGGGGATCTTCACAGATGAGACCTACTGTGACGCGAGACGTAAGATGACATCTGTCAGACAAGTGATCGTCAACCCTACCATAACCACATAATTTGTTATAACAGGATTTTCTCAGGCTTCGAGCAACGCATCTTCCGTCCCGAGTAGTCCAGTGTTCTTTCAAGTTGTCAGGCCGTCTATCTAATTCTCGGTGTAATCCCACACTGACAAATATCGCAGGGTTAAATCAGAAGGGTCAGGTCAGGACGAAGAACATGTTTGACGTGTCACATGTTGGCAATGCCACGTTCATGCGAGCAGTGCCGTTTCAATTGGTCTCACGGATTGCCCTTTACAAAGCGACAACTGATGTGGCGCATTGGTAGTGCGACTGCCTGCGACGCAGAAGGTTCCGGGTTCGACTCCCGGTGGGTTACTACACAAAGTTGATATTTACCCAGTCTGGTCAGGACATTGCAGGCTGAACCACCTGATTGTCCGGAAAGAAAGATGGTTCCGTGCTTCGGAGGGCATGTTAAGCCGTTGGTCCCGGTTGCTGTCTATGATCAACAAAGACGGCGGTAGTTACAAAACTATTTCAGAGACTTGCAGTAGGTGGTTAGAAAAGTCTGGTTTATCGGGTCGTTGGACGACTTGGTGACCCACTCGAATAAGAAGAACAGATGAGACTTGCAACGCGAAACGTAAGATGACACCTGTAGTCGGGGAAATCTGGAAATTCAATGTATGGTGGCAGGTAAAGCACGCCTTTACAGCATTTTTTTGTGGTTAGGCACCTGTAACCATGCTGTTTGAAACCTTAAAAGCCCGTCCGCATTACCGCCATTTTCTTTGAAATGTGTCAAAAATTATAAACTTTTCGGATTTATGAGTTAACTATAATAGTTTACAAAAAAAGTGTTAAAGGACAAAATATTCTGTATTAAATTTGCTTCATGTTGAACGACGAAATTTGTATTGTATTAATCAGTTTTTATAAATGGTCGTATGAGTCGTATGAAAATGTTTTTTTTGTTAAATACGGTATTTGTTAAAAACTATAAGTTTTATATAAAGAAGATTTGTAAAAATATAATTAAGATTATATTATATTATGTTTTTTCTTAAAAAAACTATGATTTTTGTCACATTTCCAGGAAAAAGGGCATTTTAAAATAAAAATCTTATTATCTTGAAAACCGTAAGAGTTACAATAAAAAAATGTATGAAATTTAAGTAGCAAATGTAATACCACAGAATATTTTGTCCGTTAACTCTTTTTTGTAACTGTTATACTTAACTCATAAATCCGAAAGGTTTAAAATTTTTGACACATTTCAAACAAAATGGTGGTGATGCGGACGGGCGGAGGGTCTCCGCTTTTAAACAACATGTTTCAAACAGCATGCTTATAGGTATGTAATCACAAAAAAAAATTGCTGTATCTAAAGGCTTGCTTCAACTGCCGCCCGCCATACATTGAATTTCCAGAATTCCCCGACTACTGTTCGATAAGTGATCGTCGGCCGTCATCGTGACGCATGTCTCGTATGTGTAAACGGCTTTCTTCTGTTTCATACGTTTTATATGAAAACGGTTTCAAGCGTCGCGAATAGTCGCGATGTTGCACGTCTCACGTCTCCGTCCTGTGGCGCCTAACAACATTACTTTACCAGGCCTGGCGCACTCCGCGGCGTATAGAGTTGCAAGTACGTGCGGCGACACCCCCGGGAAGGTTAGTCAGTTGGTTGCCGCGCGCCGCACGTTACGCGCGCGCTCCGATGCCGTTCGCATTTCTTCACGAGATTTATTTTATTTTATCAATTCTGTATTAAGTAACTCAGCTTTCTACCTCATTCGTTAATTTTGTATGATAATGCAATTTTCATATTTTTTCTAATATTTGTGCTTTGATTTTCTTTCAATATCCTACGTTTAACAAAACATTTTATTTTTGTTTTACTTGGGTGTAGAAATGTACTCCAGTACACTTTTCGTAGGTACCTATTTTCATATAAATCTCGAAATTCGCATCCCTACAAAGCGTGCCGGCTGTGACCTTCAGAGGCGGTCTGCGGCAAATGAACTTTTTCGCGCGCAGCAATTCGGCTCATTTTTGCTTGCGCGCGCGATCAGTAGGCTAATATAAAAGTAGGTATTCAAAGCCGGCGCGAAGGAAATTGTACTTTATTATCGCGCATAAAGATTTATATTTGTTGAATTGATATGGCGGAGTGCGTCTTCTGTACCTGTACTATTATGTATTCTGTGACTTTACTCGGTTTAAAAAATCGCAATAGAATTATTAGCACTCAAAATATTTAATTAATCAATCACTTATCCATCATTTCAATAAGCAGCTTATGTAGGTATGTAAATTTTAATTGTAAAAATGGAAAACAGCTTATACAAAAGCTTTTATAAGGTCTAACCGGTCTAACGATATAACTACATTTCATACAAAAAACGCGTGCGTTTTCTTTCAATTTATCATCAATCATCACGGCAATGGTTTTCTTTCAAGTTTATCTTCAACCATCATTCATCGTCAATGTTTTGTAATCTGTCCAAAACAGCTTTATAATCATAACCACAGAACGAATTCAACACAGCGATTTACACAAAGATGTAGGTAAATTAGTATTCAAAAGAAACAAGCATTCAATTGATAGAAATAAAAAATACTTGTGAAAGACTATGTATTTCATTAATAATAATAATAATATTTGGTATAAAAAGGCCTCTGTGCTGTTGGCTTCGGCCTCACGCATGCCTCAAAGGACCGGGTCCCTGTGGGCACGTGATTCGAAAATAATACCAACATAATAATAATAAAATGAATGAACCTGATATGTATAGTATTGTAAGTACATATGGTATAGTTAGGTATATGGTATGTAGGATACGTTCTATTTCCATCACTTAAGTTACATTTAAGAGCTCTACTTGTACTGGTTATGCTTGCTTACTATTTGCAAAACTAACACAACTTGATCTCATAAAGAAGCGATACACAGGCGCATTCTATCGTATTTTGGAAACGGCATACAACAGTCTACCAAAGTGACTTATTTAGAATGCCATTGCACCAAAAGCTTACGAAACTGACACCTACGCCATATCAGGAATGATGAGCATTTGCCATTCGGTAGCTGCTTGTACTTCAATGGAACTGGTTTCGATTCTGTCGGTCGTTGTCTTGATTGAATTCTTAGAGCCTTGCCACACTAGCGATTTGGGTCTTGAGAGCGGATGCGGAGCGGCAGAACGCGGAATATTCGTCGTTATTCGGATTTGCAACGTTAAACAAATGCCGTTGTAAGAGCTTTTATATAAAACTAGCTCGTGCCCGCGAACTTCGTCTCGCCAAGGGATGTTTGTATGCCACGGCGTTTATGGGAATGCAAACGCCAGAATCATAAGAAATTTTATCTAAATAACATACACGATCACGAATGTTGTGATTGTGACTTGTGACAAGACGAATCTCTGATCCGTTGACATTTGCCATTATGCATTCGATGTTCAAACCTCAATGCCATATGCCATTACACGGCATTTGACCTGCTAAACTTGCGACTTGGTTCACCTTTCATATGCCTACCTATTTACATTGTGCTTTTGTAAGTAAGTAGACATATTTTTTTTTTTTGCTTAGGTAGGGGGAAACCATCATAGATATCATAAGGCCCGGACGTTTATGGTATGCCCGACTCCGCCGGGTTACCCCCCAGGCGACTGTCGCTGTGACTTAAAGGTGCGTACGGACTAGAGGCAGCCTCGCCTGAGGCACGCACGGCTCGCCCTGTTGCCTCAAGTGCGTACGTGCCTCAGCCCGAGGCGCGCCTCGCGTGAGGCTGCCTCGGGGCGAGCCATTCGGTGTCGGTTTTTTGGCTGTGCTCAAAGGCGCCTCGGCGTACGTGCCTCGCAAGTTTGGACGTGATTTGAGCACGGTTTTAGCAAGTCACACAGTTCTTTCTCTTTTTTGAGGTTATTTTATTTTAGATCTGTGTCATAGATTGAAATTAGATTGGAAGTTCATATTATTTCTGCTATCAAATAATTATAAGCCATTGTTCGAAAATGGTCAATTGGAGCAAGGAAAATGAACAGGTTTTTTGGAATCCCCGCGATGAAAAGTACTACGATAAGAATGTCAAAAGAGATGCATGGGAAAGATTAGAAAATAAACGCAGCGGCAGCACGGGTTTTGTTTGACGCCATGGTTTGTCGTGCGTGGATAATAGTAAAATGGCGAAAGACGCCGACGACGCAGAAATACGACTGAATCAGCTGTCGATCCGGCGCCGTCTTGTCGCGCCTGGCTCGACCCGAGGCAGGTTGCCTCAGTCTGCTGCCTCATGTTGTTTACCGAGGCAGCCTCTACACGAGCCGTGCGTGGCGAGGCTGCTCAACCTGAGGCTGCCTCTAGTCCGTACGCACCTTTACGTTGGTGTGCAATCCAACGTTTTAGACTAATACTGGTCCTGCGGGGTGAGACGTCGAGACGACGACTGACGATTACTTATTTGACAGATGTCATCATCCAAGCTCCACAGAGGAGTCGTGCGACGCGATGCGCAACATGACATCTGTCAGACCAGCGATTGTCAGCTGTTATCGATGCGACGCGCAACTCACGTAGCTTTATCTCTTCTGTTTCATGCAATTTTAAATGGAAACGGTTTCAAGCGTCACGATGTCACACGTCTTAAGTCTACAACGATCACTTGTTTGACACTTGACACCCCACAAGTCATGACGCAAGTCTTTTCTGTGGAGCTCGCCCCTCACGTCTCACGTCTACTCTATGGAGCTTGCGCCTTAAACTTGCGTCTTGCGTTCACCTTTCATTTGTTTACATTGTGCTTTTGTAAGTAAGTAGACTTTAATATTGTAAGTGTATTGTGTTGATTTGAGCCGATAATGTAATTCTGTTTAAGATCAAGCTTGAGATGTGGTTTTGCTATTTTATAGCAATGTAACACCTATTCGATAAGTTGTTTTCAAATTCTATAACGAAATCAAAGTAGTGTACAATACGACAGCTCCAATAGGCCATATGTGACAGTTGTCATAATCATGTTAATGCTATTATGAATGACATAATGGTCTACTTTTGTTGGTTGATATGAAATACCTACATATCTCTTCTGGAATGGGTTTGACCTAGGTTACACAGGTGACATTTTTGCTCTGCGATTCACGGCTTTTTCCCGTTTCTGAAAGGGACTTCCGTTAAGTTGCCGGCCAAAGTCGCTTCAGTGTACACGCCCAGTTAATGCCTGCACTTTCCAGTAAAAAACCTAAAGATGGTATTTTATATGAGTAGGTGTGATTGATTGGGATTGTGTGGGTATAATAGGTATGTAGGAACATTACATTTTAAACGTGATTCACAGAAGAAAGGGAATATAAATGGCGGCCGGAGGTCAT